GCCTGTTGCAGGGGAAACTGCTCCATTAACCACAGAGCATGTGCTCAGGGCTGAGAAGGTGCACCCTAGCCCATCCCAGAGGGGGGGCCCCGGAGAGGGGCTGCTGAAGGCCTTCCTCGCTCCCTCCTGCCGTGCCCTCATCCAGCCCCTTTCCCAGCCCCAAAGACTCTCTGAATTTTCCACGGCGGGGATGGTCACTTGGATAGAGAGAGGTAGGAAGGAAGACTGGAGAGTGAGTCTGGAACAGCTTTCTGCCTGGATGTCTCATTTCTGTCTTCTGGATCCAGCATCCTGCTGGTGAATGGTGGCAGTGCAGACACTGCGACTGAAAGGTAGGGAGGGACCTTGGGGGCCACCAGGCTGACTGTATTCTACTTTCTGCTCACTCCCTTGGGTGGTCCTATCCAGGGTGGCTATGAGCACAACTCTGGAAGGCACTGATCACATGCATTCTGGCAGTCTAATTTCTGTTCTTCCTCCCTTTCTCGAATGGATGACACACCCACTTTGGAACAATCTAGACAGCCGGAACTAGGAACTCCGGATTCAGGAATGTAGTGTTCCACGTAGCAAGTATCCAAGGTTCCATCCCATTTGGCCAAGAAGATGGCAATCTTGAGATGTCGCCCTACAGAGCTATCCTGTCCTCACCCATGGGTGGTGCATATGCACTTAGGAATTGCTGGGCAGGTTCCACCCAGCAATGCTAGGAGGGCACCAGTACCTGGATAAGACCTGGGATCCATATGCCTGAGACCATCAAATGTCCAGAGGCACTGCCCTTGCCATCTGACCCTGACCTGGAAGGAGCTGGAGGGTCACTGAGCTGGTCCAAAGGAGGACAGTGGCTTCCCTTGAGGACAGCAAGAAGCTCACCCAGGCTGGTGGCACATGCAGGGACAGCCAGGCTTCCAGAGAGGCCAGCCCTGTAGATGGCCCAGTGACTCACCTCCCCAGATGCTACTCACTGAGGTCTCAAGAGGCAGCAAAACACAATGGTTCAAAGCTTAAGTCTTTGGGTCCGTTGGCCTGGGTTCAAACCCCACTTCTGTTATTTCCCTTCCATTGGCAAGTTTTTGTTTTGTTTTGTTTTTTGGTCTAGGAGCCTCAGTTTCCTTATCTGTAGAATGGGTTTACTTCCCTGGGTTGTTATAAGGATTTAGTGAACTAGAGCCTGTTGTCACTCCCTGTGTGGTGGTGAGTTTTGCTGCCTGGCTTTCTAACATTTGTTCCCAGTGGCCTAAGCCCTAAGCTCTCGCCTTCACTTCCCTTTCTAGTTTCATTCCTATTCCCTGGACCAGCCATACAGGGGATGTGGAACCTCCCAGTGGCACGATCATGCTAGCCCAGAGTAACCACAAACACTTGATTCAGTGGGGGATGTTTTTAATGTGGGGCATAGGTTTTCTTTGGATGTCCGTGTTGTCCCATTCCAAACAGGGGGTGAGACCACCTAGAGCCTGGAGAGCCTTTCTATCCTGGAAATTCTATGAATTTACAAAATCCAAATTGCTGTCATTGCAGGGCTACCACTCCTGGCTCTAAATCCTTGTGGGGAGACGGCTATGTTGTGTGTAGTCCAGACAGTGTACATACCACCAGGGGGTGCTGGCAGGCTGGTCTCCCTCCACTTCTCCAGGAGACTGAGGGAAGGGAGCCCTGGGTGGCCGGTTTGCCCTTAGGCTGGGGGACCTTGGGCAGTTAGCCTGGACTTCGAAGGTCTGCCACCTGGTGGGCTGAGAATCACAATAACAGGGACCCTTCACATCACTTGGGCCCTCCTGTTCCGGTACATGGCATTCCATCTTATGACTAAGGGGATAACGCCCAGATAACAAACTGCGGCTCAGAGAGGTGAAGGGGCTGCTCAAGGCCACACAGCTGCTGGTGAGTGGCAAAGCACTAGGCTAGCCTGATGCCAACCCCTGGGCCCCGCGATTTGACCAGCGGGAGAGGCAGCATGGCGAGCGGTAAGGAGCATGTCCTGGGAGACTGGCTGGGTCTGAGTCCCGTTCTACCTCCACCCAGTGCAGATGGCCACTCCTATCCACTCCCTTCTCTTCCTTCCACCCCTTGGGATCTCAGTGACCTTCTCTGTTTTGGAAGAGTTGGTGACAGGCTCAGGATCAGCATGAGTGGAGCCTTCGCTATTCAACCACGTGATTTTCCTGGAGCACAGCCTGGTCTCTTTAGGCACAATTTTCAGTCCTGCCAAGAGACTTCTGCACGCCCTAACTAGCCATGGACACCCCAGCCTGCAAATGCACCCCGAGCCTGGGGGGAAAAGCTGGGATGCAAGGCTCCTGGGCAGCTGTGCTAACCCAGGATGCGTAAGGCCACCGTCATCCCACTTACCTACCAGGCTCAGTGCTGTACTTGCGGCCTCACTTAATCCTCGTGCCAGCCCAATGAGACAATATTACGATCTCCATTTTACAGAGGGGGAAACTGAGGCTCAGAGAGGACCTCAGCAGCTCTGGAGAGGGGGTCTTGGCTTTCCCCCCAACTCTGCCACCGACTGGCTGGGTGCATGAGGAGTGGGTAGGCTGGGGTCTCAGCTTCTGCTTGGGATCTGGAGAATGTAAAGGGCATGAAGCCTTCAGCAAAAGTTTCCTGGAAGACAGGGAGGAAGGAAACAGTGGCTTTTCGGGAGCTCACAAACCCAGGGGTTCAGGCAGGACCTCAGTGGAGGACAAGTTGCAGCAATTCTTGTGAGTGACCACATGCAGAGGCCAGCAAGAGTGACAGGGGGCTGTGCTGACCAGCCAAGGCTTACAGGAGGAGGGGAGACTGGAGCCAGTCATCGAAGAGTGAGAAGAGTTGTTCTCTTCAGAGGGTCCCGGGCTGGTGGGGGAAACAGAAGGAGAATGGGGACTCCTCTCTGGGGCTTACCCTTGGTCTTCAGGAGAGAGATAAGGTATGGGAAGATGCTGGGTGCCCAGGGAAGGGGATGCCTCAGGTAGCACACCTTTTATGATGCCGGGACCCATCCCGGTGGAAAAAATGAGGTTTTGCCTTTATCAGAAAACTGCATGCCTCTGCGTGTGTCCCTGTGTGAATGTCGACGTGTGAAGGGATGTTTGAAGTCTCATGTCAAAGTCCTTTTACATCTGTGATCTCTTTTTACTTCCCCAGCTATCTTGAGAGGTTGGCTGGACAGAAATATCATCCTCAAGGACAGATTCAGAACCCCAGTGGGATGAGCTGTCTTGCTCAGGGTCATGGAGCTTGAGAGTTGAAAAGCCAAGTACAATCTATGCTCTTGTCCCTGAACCTTCTTCCTGGACCCCCATCCTACCTCACAGGACACTGTATGGCACAGGTCACCATGTCATCTGCCTCCTCCCACCCCCAGGGCATTCTCCCCTAGAGGAGAGAAGGCACTCTGATGAACCCTGCATTTTCACAAGAAAAACCCCACCGGGTTTGGTGGGTCTGGGGATGGGAGTGAAGGACTGAAACCAGAAAGACAAAGATTCCGGTGGCTGCAGAGGTCAGAGCCCAAGGCCAGGGTCAAGGGTCTATCTTCTCTCAAACTGCTTAAAGCAACCATCACCAAGGAGGAACTTACTAGCACAGAGAAAGGACCCGCGAAGAGTGAAGGGCCGTGTGCTGGTCCTCAGGGCAGCCTCCGGGAGGTGGGCTCGGGTGAGGGCCCACTAGTTTGCCCTTTATTTTCCCCCAGAACCTCCAGCGGGATGGCACTGGGACCGAAGGTCTGGGTAGTCGACCTCTGTCCCCTGCCAATAACAGTGGGCACCTGCAAAGCTCTCACTTTGTGCCAGGCAGCTCTGAATGCTTTGCACATATATGCTCAATTAATCTTCACAACACCTCGGGAAGAAGGTACAATTGTTACTTCCATTCCACAGATGGGGAAAGGGAGGCACAGAGAGGTTCAGTGACTTGCCCAACGACACTCAGTTTGTAAGTGGCAGAGCTGGCATTGGAACCCAGGAAATCTGCCTCTAGAAGCTATTCTGCCTCTGTTATTAATAATAACCAAAGCTTCCATTTGACTGGTACCCCCTATGTGCCTGGGGCTGAATTCCCCACAGCAACGCAGCGGGCAACCTGCGGTGAGGTGACTTGAGATTCTCCCAGATGCTGCGTCTAAAACCAAAGCTTCCACGCTGCTCGGCCTCTTTAACTCGCTGCGTGACCGTGGGAAAGCCCATTCCTTTTCAGAGCCTCAGTTTGCCTGGCGCTTAGTTAGCCCTTCTGCTCCTGGTCTCTCTGCTCCAGCAAGTGACCCGAGCGGATGGGGCTGCGGTGCAGGGGGAGTGAGGGTCTCGGGCAACCCCAGAGCCTTTCCCTTCCCTCGTCGACCTACCCCCACCCCCGCCCCCCAGGAGAAGTCGCCATTCTGTTTCTTTCTCGATTGGCAAGCTGGGGTGGAGGGCTGGACGTGGAGGTGCTGGGTGCGGAAGGCGACGCTGCGTCACCGAGAGGTCAGCAAGGCCAGGGAGACAAGGCCCGGCTCTGATCTGGGGAAGGGCCGAAGGGCCTAGAAGGCACGTGCTCGGGAGCAGACTGTCCTCTGGGGAAAGAGAAGCGCCCCGGACTTGAGGAGGGGGTTGGGGAGGGAGAGTCAGAGGACCAGGTTCTGGGCAGAAGGGATGGGGGTGGGGGGAGGTGGAGAGGACGCGGACAAAGGAGGCGGCCGGCAGCCCAGCTGTTTTGAAAAATGCTTCCTGTTTCTTTAAAGGCGCTCGCGGCTCGGGCGGCCGGGGCTGGGGAGGCTGCGGCGGGAGCTGCCTCCTCTCCTGGCGGCGGCGCTGACTGATCTCGCGAATTGGGCTTCTGTGTAAACTGAGGCTAAACAAACACAGATGGAGCGCAGCGGGCGTTCTCCAGAAATGCTGGCACGGCGGCAGCGACTTCAGATGACACTCTGAGCGCTCCGGGAACGGACAGCCCGGCGGCTTCGCGGAGCCGGCGGCGCAGCTGCCCCGGACGAGGGGGAGAAAGGGAGGGAGGGAGGGAGGGAGAGAGCAGGGGGAGAGCTGGAGACTCCGAGGCGCTGAGCGCCGCGGCCGCCCGGGCAGAGCCGGCGCGCAGCGTGTAGAGCGAGCGCGGCGGGCGCGCTTCCCGGGCAGCCCCACGCCCCTGCCTTGCGCGCTGCCCGCGCCATGAAGCACATCCCGGTTCTCGAGGACGGGCCGTGGAAGACCGTGTGTGTGAAGGAGCTGAACGGCCTCAAGAAGCTCAAGAGGAAAGGCAAGGAGCCGGCGCGGCGCGCGAACGGCTATAAAACTTTCCGATTGGACTTGGAAGCGCCCGAGCACGGCGCCGCCGCCACCGACGGGCTGCGGGACAGGACCCAGCGGCTGCAGCCGGTCCCGGCCCCGGTGCCAGCCCGGGTGGCGCCGGCCGTTCCCTCAGGTGGGGGCGCGGACACGGCCGGGGAGCGCGGGGGCGCCCGGGCTCCGGAGGTCTTGGACGCGCGGAAACGCGGCTTCGCCCTGGGCGCAGTGGGGCCGGGACTCCCCACGCCGCCGCCACCACCGCCGCCTCCAGCGCCCCAGGGCCAGGTACCTGGGGGTCCCGAGGCACAGCCTTTCCGGGAGCCCGGCCTACGTCCCCGCATCTTGCTGTGCGCACCGCCAGCACGCCCCACGCCGTCGGCGGCCCCTGCTCCCCCGGAGCCCTCAGTGCGCCCGGCCCCCCCCACGCGCCCTGGGGAAAGTTCTTACTCGTCAATTTCACACGTAATTTACAATAACCACCCGGATTCCTCCGCGTCGCCTAGGAAACGGCCAGGCGAAGCTACCGCCGCCTCCTCCGAGATCAAAGCCCTGCAGCAGACCCGGAGGCTCCTGGCGAACGCCAGGGAGCGGACGAGGGTGCACACCATCAGCGCAGCCTTCGAGGCGCTCAGGAAGCAGGTACCGGCTCCCAGCCACACACCCTCACTGCGCCCGGGTATGACTGCGGGAGTGGGTGGGTAAGTGGCTGGGGGACTTTAGGGAGGATGAGGGCGTGGGTAAGCGGCAAGTTGTCCCCGCCCGGTCGGCCCCAGGGCCCAGACAGGTTTGGGTCCTCCTGGGGCAGTGACCTTTGCCACAGCGTTGGTACGGCTCTTAGTCTGCAAAGTCGGGGTGAAGGTTCGAGATCTCTGGCTCGGGCACGCCCTGGTTACAGCCACCCGCATCCCCCCTGGGGTGCCCCTGTCTGCGCGTCTGACTTCACCCCTCATAGTTCACTTTTATGGCAGCGAATATTTGTCTCCCGGGGTCCCTTGGGCGCGGTGGGGAGTGGAGAGGGGCAATGTGGGAATCCGTCTCCGGCGGGGAAAGGGGGAAGACCCTTACCCTTCCGGCAATTTGGCGTGGTCTTGGAGGCCCGGAATGCTGCGGAGGGGTGGTCCTGGTTTTGCCAGAACATAAGGGTCCCGCATTCCGCGGGAACCTGTCAGCACCTCCTCAGCCCCCACCTCCCAGCAGGGATGCCCCTGAACTCAGGTTGCTTCTGCGCTCTGCACCCCTCGCTCCTGGTGTCCCTTAAGGACCCGGGGTACAAGCCTGAGCCCCCTCTGCAGGGGCGGCCTCAGGAATTGGCTGGAGAGGGCCTTTCCAGGAGATCCCCTCCACTGCTGCCGTTCGCCGCCCGCCGCATGCTGAAGTAGGCAGGTCTGCTGAGGGGACTGATTGGTTCGGGGAATCTTCAGAAACTAGTTCTGGGGTGGGTTAGGGGCTTCTTAGTTTGGGGCAGGTGGGGGCTGTCCTCACCAGACACTGTCTTCTGGGGCCGATGGGAAAGAATATTTGTCCAAGAGTTACCCATAGTGGGGAGTGGCAGTTTTACAATTCCACTTAGACAAGATTGAGACTGCCCTGGGATTCTAGGCTGCGCATTTTCACAGAGCGGAGATCTAAGAAGGGTGTGGTAAGTGCCCCCTGCCCCCAGCCCACACAGGGCATGGGGAAGGGCTGGGGGGGTGGATGTGACTGGTTTGAATGGTCAGGATTTTTGCTTGCTCTGCAGCTGACTTCCTGTGTGACTTCAGGAAAGTTACTTACCCTCTCTGGGCTTTAGCCAACAACAAAGGATTTCAGAAAACATGATCTTCTTTTTGGATCACACTCTCTCCTCTTCCTCCTGTGTGTGGGGCAGGGAAGGTGCCTGTGTCCATCCATGGGAAGGGAATTAAACTCTTGGGGAAAAGAGTTTCTATGACTTTTGAGCCAAAGTGTCACATTTGGGCTTGAGTAAGATGATTGGTCAGTGAGGTGGAGTGGAGTGGAGGAGTCAGATAACTGTCATAGACAGTTGGGATCTTGGGCAGTGGGCCCAGTGGAGAATTCAGTTTCACCCTCAGGCAGTGGCTCTGTGTCAGAGGGTGGCAGCCTGGAGGGCATCCTGCTACCTACCACCCAGGATGGAAGGATGAGATGGCAGAGAGATGACTGTCCACCTGCTCACCTTGCAGCTAGGGCAACCCCTCTCAGATTGGGGAGGCCACGTGCCCAGAGCATCACAGCTGGTGAGAGGAAGGTCAGGGCTGGCACCTAGGTCCTTTAACTGACAGTTCAGCGTCCTTTTTACTCCTCCAGCTGCCTCTTTCAGTTCCGAGAAAGTATTCACGGTCTCTGTGTGTTCAACTACATCTCATTTGTCCAGTGGCTTTAACTTCTTTCAGTAATAAATTCCATCTTATTTGATCTTAACATCCTGTCAGTTGAATTAGCTTTCCATTTAATGGAATGGAAAACTGGGGCCTGGAGAAAGAAGGAAGGAAACGCTTCCAAGATCACCTAGTGGGTTAGGGAAGGTGACAGAAGTTTCTGGAATGCCCGCCTGGCCAAATGCTTCTCACAATGTCAGCTGTATCCGCGCTGTGGGCCCTGCGCTCGCAGTGTTGTTAAGTCGGAAGGTGGGTGTACACATGGCTGACTCTCTGAGATGAGATTGTTAATCGTGGTTTCCTTTCACTTCTGCCCTTCTTGTGCGGAAGTTCTATATAAGAGGGACAAATTCAGGGAGAAAGTGTGCACACACACACACACACACAGGTACAAACAGCTGTACCTATACACACGATCAGTACTAGTGCCCAAGAGCACACACAAATGTGTGATCAGAAGCGCCTGCTCTGGTTTGTTCCCCCCCCTTGCCCAGTCCATCTGTCCCTTCCCGAAAAAGGCTGCTGGTGGGCACCGGTCTATTGTCTGCGAGGGAAAGAAATATCGCTAGGGCACACTCACCATGTCCACATCACAGCCTCCATCCGATGGGGAAAGTCCTGTGTCTCAGAGGCACTCCTTCCTCCTCTGGACCTCAGTATCCCACCTGTAGAAAGTGCGCACGTGAATACACACTCACACACAGGCAGGCTGTGACTCTGGATCTAGGCTTAGGCTTGACTGTCTGAAATGGACCCTGGGAAAGGAGGGTGAGGAAGAAGAATGGTTTTTCCTGAAATGAGGCCATGGCTGTTGCAGCACCGAGGTCAGTTCTGAGACTGTGGCTCTGGTCTGGGGCTTCATTTCTCTGAGCAGCTTCCCGGTACGGTGAAAAGAGCACTGGGCGGGGAGTCCGGAGGCTGGAGTTTGAGTTATACCTCTGCTGTGTGCGTTCTGTGTGACTGTGGACAAGTCACTTTCCCTCTCTGAGCCTCAGTTGCTAAAGTTGGAAAATGGTGATAACGCTTACCTCGTACACCGCTTCTCTGCAGAGAGCGAATGAAGAAAGGAATGGGGGCCATAGGAGGAATGAACATTTCTCAGACGTCTGCAACGTCCTCAGGGCTGGGCAAAGGCCTTGACAGATGTAGAAATAAGAATTCTGTAACCATTTTAGTAAGAATCATAGAAACTACCATTTATCAGATGCTTCCTTTGTACTGGGTCGTGCGCTAAGCGTGTTACACGTATTAGTTCACTTAATGAAGGAGGTATTGTTTCCACCCGCCCATCCCCCCGCCCTCACTCCCACCCGTTTCACGGATGGTGAGGCCGAGGTTCAGGGAACTTCTGTAAGTTGGTGGCGATCTCGCAGCCTTTGGCCACTGCATGAGGCTTCCTGGGTTTTGCACTGCACGCCTCCCCGGCCTGCCATTCACTAGGCTTCGGGGTGCCGGCGCCCTCCCGGGCGTGGTGCAGTCACAGCCTGCGTGGCTGTGTGCCACTGTCATTGCAGAGCCTGGATTCGAATCGGAGTCAGCGAGTCGCTCCAGGGCCCAGGCTCCTGACGGCCCCGCTCTTCAGCCTGGTGACCACCCCGGAGCTGTCCACCCCGAGCAGGGGGAAGCCAGACAGTCTTCTGTGTTGTCCAACCCATCATGCTCTCAACCAGGAAGGGAATGGGGTGGGGGGCCGCTTGGCCATGAGAAGTGCAGGTGGGGGAGAGGGAGGCCCCCGGCAGCGGGGCCAGGGGGTGCGTATGCAGGGCAGATGGTCAGGCCGCAGCACGTGCCACCAGCCCAGCTGCTCGGGGCCCTCCCCGCCGCCTCACGTGAAGGCCATGTGTGCATAGCTGGGCCTGGCCCATGTGCAGGGCCGCTCCGGGCCGGGTGGGAGAGGGTCCAAGGGAAAGCCTGGCCTTGCTGGGTGGGTGAGGGGAGGGGGCAGAGCTGTGGGCCTCGGCCTCCCCCGCAGAACCTTCTGGTTCACAGGCTGTGCTCACCCTCGGGGCATCTGGTGTGTGTGCAGATCTGTGCAGATTTCCTCTCTCCCCGAGAAGCATAAAGCCCCTCAGCATTGATGGAGGAATGGCAGCCTAGCCAGGCAGAGGCCTGGGGCAGCAAGGAGGAGCCCTCAGGACTTGCTGAAGTGCCAAACCAGTGGCCCCCTCCTCTGCTGCCCCTGGAGTGTCCCAGGGAATCCTCAGCAAGTGAACTCAGGATGGCCCAGGAGGGGGCATGAGGATGGCACCCCCCAGCCCAGCACCTCCCTCAGTCTCAGACGCCATAGGATGCCAGGGGCCCATGGCCCCACTGCAACCTGTACCCCCTTCCTCAGGGAATGGGGGACGGACCTGCTTGCATCCAGATGGGAGAGGGGTGATAAAAGCCTCTCTCCTGCCCCCTCGCATCCACAGTCACCACGACAGTAGCTTGTTGAGCCTCATTGCACGGGGTGAAGTGCCTTACCTGGCCCTGTTGTCGTGCCGCCTTCCCATTTCACAGATGGGGATGCTTACAGAGGTGGAGCGAGTGACCAGGATTTGTCCTGTCTGGCCCTGGGCCATGGCTCTTAACTACTCAGACCCAGGTTCTCAGGGTCCAGCCTCGTTGCTGTGTAGCAGGTTGGGATTTTGTTTAAATAGAACTTGACAAGGACCTTAAACAGCCTGTGTAGAGCAGCTTCATCCCAGGGAGCCAGCACTCACTGACGTGAGCTGATTAGAGAAAAATTTCAAATGGGATTAAGTGCTCGGCTGTGTGCCGGGGATGCAGTAATGTTGGAGCTGTGTGGGTCCAGGAGTCTCGGTGGGCATCTTGGGCTGGGTCTGAAGGGTGGGGTAGGAGTTGGCACAGAGGCAAGAGGGTGGAGGGCTTCCAGGCCTCCCCTGCATTGGCTGGTTGGTTCCTGGCTTTGCTTCTCTGTAGCGCCTCCCTACATCTGCCCATGGCGATTCCATTCTGAGGTAGCAGGTATTCTGATGCCCATTTTATTGGTGAGGAAACTGAGGTCCCCTATGGTTGCGGACCTTAGATCATGTGGATGGCCCGGAGTAGAGCTAGGTCCTCAGAATCCCAGGCCAGTGCCCTTCCTGCTTTTTCCCACTTGCTGGAGCCAGGAGAGGGTTCAGCTTGGGGTAGGTGGGATGGAATCTTTTAGGGGCACGTGGGACCTGGTGAAAAATCCCCATACTGCACCTGCTTCTCTGAAGCGTAACGATTCTTGTGGGGTGAGCGTGAGGCAGGTCCTTTTACTTTACAGGAAGATTTGCTGCCTGTCAGTAGCTGGAGCCGAGCGGCCCTGCTGTCTCCTTTGGCTTCTGTCCTCTGCCCAGGCTGAGCAGATGACTGCTGTGTGGTCTCCGGCAGGTGGTGGGATGGCTGGGCTCTGGGCCACGCTGTGGATGCTCAGAGAGGTAATGCACCAAGGCTGGGGTCCCATGGAGTCCAGAACTCTCCATCCCCTGCTCAGAAGGGTGGGCTGCCCACCTCCCCACCATAGGCTATAGATGCTCATCCAAACCCCCAAGCCATTGCTTCTGGCTGATTGGAAAGAGCCCAGCTAAGTAAGGTGTGTGTTCAAAACCCAGCTCATCTTTCATCAGCTGAGAGATACAGGAAGTTCTTACACTCCCTGGGCATCAAATGCTTCTCTGTAAAATGGAAGTCGTCATTTCTACCTCATGGCGCTGTTGAAAGATGAATTATATTCACAACACCCAGCCCTCTGCCTGGCCTTAGTAGATCACAAGAAACGGCAAGGGGATGACCTAGTTCCAACAGTCATCCAGGGTACCCAGGCATCATTCCCACTCTCCAGCTAAGAAAACTGAGGCTCAGAGAGGTGAAGCTACCTGTCCAAAGTCACCCCGATGTTTGGGATTCAGACCAGCTCTTTCTGCCTTACCTTAACCTCCTAGAATCAGATCCTCATAGGCCAGGTTGCCTCTGAGCTGGGCTTTTGGGGGCCCACCTTCTGCATCCTGGGCCGTGGGCACCAGCATCACCAGCGCTGGTGGTGGGAGTTTGGAGAGCCCAGTGGCCAAGCCCCTGGTGGGAGCTTGGGGAGCCCGCCTTCCTTGGGCGATAAACACACGAGCTTCTGGCTCCAACCGGGTCTTAGCTGAGTGACCTGGGGCCCAATATGTCACCTCTCTGTTTCCTCATGTGCAGATGGGGTAACAATCTTTATTTGGGGGAAAGTTTCAATGGGCTGAAACTACCTGTAAATAGTGACCACGGTGCCAGGTAAACAACCAGAGCTCAATAGATGGGTTGGTTTTTTTTTTTAAACTCCACAGTTGCTTCTTAATTTATTTAATTAATTTATTTTTGGCTGCATTGGGTCTTCGTTGCAGCGTGACGTAGGGCTTTCTCTAGTCGCGGCGAGCGGGGGCCATTCTTCGCTGCGGTGCACGGGCCTCTCATTGCGGTGGTTTCTCCCGCTGCGGAGCATGGACTCCAGGCATGCAGGCTTCAGTAGCTGTGGCGCATGGGCTTAGTTGCTCCGTGGCAAGTGGGATCTTCCCGGACCAGGGCTTGAACCTGTGTCCCCTGCATTGGCAGGCAGATTCTTAACCACTGCGCCACAAGGGCAGCCCCCTCAATAGACGGTTTTCTTGTTAGACCTGGACTTTTGACACAAGCAGTGGGACAGAGTGACAAATCTGGGGCAAAACTGGATCAGAACTTGGCAGGGGAGCTCCTAGGTCGGCCTTGGCCTCACCTGTTGCTCAGTGGTCCCGCAATGACCCTGGATCCCCATGTGCAGATCCCGTCCAAGATCCCTGCTCCCTGCTGGCAGGGAAGCCCAGCTGCTCAGGGCCCAGGGCTCAAAGAGCTGGGTAACTCCCAGCATGGCCTCTGGGTAACAACACACTAGGGCCTGTGTCACAGAGCTGTGCCCGGTGTCCAGAGCCTCCACCAGGCAGGCACTCCCTCCCTGGGTGCAGGGGAGGCAGAGGTGCTAGACTGGTCCCTGAGACCCATGCCCCTGCCCCAGGGAACCTTTCTGTGCCACAGACCTTGTTCATTTGTTCAGGCTGATAAAGCAGGATTCTCTGGACTCTGGATGAGAACAGGCAACGTGCATTGTTCTGCAGGCTTTTCTCAGATGGGTTTGGAGCTGTGGCCAGGACTGGGAGGGGGAAGGGGAATGCACAGGAGTTGGTGGTCCCTGTGTCACCTCCCTGCCCCTCCCTGCGTTTCCTGGCCTGGTGAAGGGCAACTCCTTGGCTGCTAGAGGATTTTTTTTTTTT